CTCAAGGGAAGAGAGGCAGGGAAGATGTGTGGGGAGGGAAAACTTTTTTTAAATTGCACCCTGGGGTCTTCCTGCCTCTTCTTATGACTTGGCTTCCCATTCTGGTGGAGGTGGGTTGCAGTTCTGTCCTGGGCTTTGTCTGCTACTCTTCTAACCTCTGACACGTAAAGGCATTTGAAGAAGAGCAACGGAGATTCTTTGCTGGGTTGGACTAGTGAAGCTGCTCTCTTAGCCTAGGGATAAAGCCCTTCTTGCTATGGATACTGGAGACTCTTGTTTCAGCTCCGCTGAGGAGGAGTGGTGAGGCGTGCAAGCTTTGTTAACTCGCTCTTCTAGATATTGCCCTTTGCACACTCAGGAGCTGGCTGCTTTGTGCACTCCCTCAATAACGGTGAGGCACCTTCAGTAACTTTCTGTCCATATGGTTCTGACTCATGCTCGTCGGGAAGTGTGGTAAATTGAAGACCAGGAGAATGTCTCCGTTAGTTCTTCTGACCCAAACCTGATGCTTTGCAGAGTCTGGGATCTGAGTTCACTTCGGAACCTTGTAGAAAGTACCTGCTGCATTTTTAAAGCTACCTTCAGTGCTTCAGAGTGAATAAGAGCAGGGACAGGTTCCTTTGCATCACACATGGTGTATTCTGGATGGTCTTTTTGCATAGGCTGCTGCCCAAAACACTACAGAAGGGGCAGGAGGCATGAGAGGTCTTTTGCCAGTCTTGGAAACAACCACAACAGGAGAGTTGGAGTTGACTGCAGAAATAAAGGGTGGCAGAGAGGCTCTAAATCTGTTGGCGAGTAGCTGTCCTTTCCTTTGCTATTGTCCACTCTTTACGTCTACGATGCCTGAGGTCAAACTCTATTTATGGTGAAATATGGGTTTAGTGTGCTCGCGATGTGTGGCTGGAAATGGAGGAGTGGGGAGTCCTATTTTAGAGAACAAATGGAAATGAGTTTGATGGCGTCTCATGCTAATGTCTAGTGGGCATTTTTCTAGCATCGTAAATGTCACAGTTGCTGATATCTTCTTTGAAGAGGCACATGGAGAAATGGCAGGGGCTGCTACAGGTCAAGGCCGAGCGATATCGCTATAATTGTGTGGCAGTGGGGACCAGCAGCAGATTAGGTGCTGCAGGTTAGAACTGTTTCTCGGTTCAGGACTGAAAGCGCAGGAGCTGTTCCACCTTGTGGTGGAAGACCAGGGCTGGAGTAACAGGGGTCAGTCTTGGTTAGGACTGAGTTCCATTGTCAGAACCATTTGGAGAAGTTCACTCCGTACCTGCCTGCATATAGCAGCCACACACTTGCTTGTATCCCATTGATCTAAAACTGAAAACTCTCTCAGTAAAATAAGGCATGGAGTAATGTGTGCGCAAGCTGGGTGCAGAGGAGGGCAACCGCTAGCCTTGTCGGTACCAGTTGTTGTTCAGCAGCACAACATAATGTGCGGCTCATCAGAGAACACCAAATAGAGAAATGTTATGGGAGCACGAGCTTCTAAAATGAAGCTATAACCCTGCGTTCACCATTGGAGGCAAACGTTGGCTTACTGAAAGGAATTGAACTGTCGTCCCTTCGCTCTTACGCATCCTAATTCTAGTCCATCCGAGGAGGGTGAAATTATCACTTGGCTCCAACAGGAGGGAATTGTGGCTTGTCTAAAAAGGTGTTTTGTCCTCTGCTGAAGTTAATGCCGCCTGCTTTGTGGGGAGTTCCAGCTATTCCATCAGAGATGGTCCTGAGGATCTGTCTCTTGGCACATTAGTCAAATCTTGATGTCTATGCTTGAGCGGTGAATATGAAAGGGGCTGTTCTATACCCTAAATCTTATGGCTTTAGTTGCATCTGCTGGTCCCCAGCTGCTCAGTCAAATTGCTCATTATGTTCCATATGCTTCTCAGTGCTGTTAGCAAAATCAAGAAACTTTGCCAGTCATATCAGTGTCTTTAAACACGTTGGAAGTCACCAGCCTGCAGTATTCTAGCAAAGCACCAACTGCTACAAAAGTCCGTTCCCATGTCAGCTCGTCTTGTCCCAGCGTAAAGTCTCACCATGCCACTGTGGCCTTAACACCAAAATGCAATGAGGGACGTAGCATTGAGTTATGGGAAACCCAGTTCTGTATATATTAAATACTCAGGGAGTTCCCTCCTAGAACAAATGTCAACTACAATGAGATGCTACCAGCTGAACAGGATGAAAATAAAGAATAATCTCCACATCCAGATTTTTCATAGCTAAATGGATGGAATACCCTGAATTTGGCCCACAGATACCTAACTCCTCTGTGATGTCTTTTATCATGGAATATTGCAATACTTTAAGCCTCACAAAACCCCATGTGCGGTGGGTATTATCTTTATTTTGCAGATGGGGAAATGGAGACACATTGAGGGATAAGTTACTTGGCCAAGCTCTTGCAGTGACTGAGCAGAGAACAGAATCCAAGTATCTACTCCAACCCCCCCCCCCTTCTTTCAGTGCTCCCCAGACCCATTCAGCACCAGACTGATGTGATTGCAACCAGGGATTGGGTTTCATGTGTCTTGCAAGTTCTTGTGTTTTGCAAGGACCCATGCAATTTCCGGCGTCTTAAATTCAGGGTTAAAGCCTAAGCCTTAACCTAACTGAGAGTGTGTGTGTGTTTTTTGTAGTTTGCTTTTCTCTTTGAGCATTGAAAGGAAGGACAAATCCTCCTCTTCCTGACCTGCTGTTGGGTCAGAGGCTGGTTTCTTGATTAATACTCCACATTGTACAGAAAGAGCCTTCTACATATTGGATTTATCTCTGGGAAGGCTCCAAATGACCGGATGGCCGCTAGAGTATCTGACAGTGGCATCTGACAGTGAAAGAGAGCTGCTTTGGTTTATGGCCATTTACAGTGCGGATTCCCCACAGACAATCAGGCAAACCTTTCATATTTTCTCCATAGATGGCACTTTTATCTGTGGGAAAAGCACTGACTAATGTAATCGTTGTCTTTGTCCAAATCTTCTGCTGCTCCAGCCTGCCCTATTGGCTCTCTCCATCTCTTTGTATGGGAAAACTAGAATTCTTCCACTTCTTTACCGTAGGCTGCCCTGCAGCAGGCATGTAAATGTGAGTTTTGCCTCTGAACATGTCGTCTTCCATCAACCCCACACTTATCGGTTCCATCTCGGTTTCTTCTGCTGCCTTGAAGATGAGCACAGGAGAGTCAATGGGAGCGAATGAGAATCCCAGTGTGCTGGACTGCTCTTGGTTAATCTCAAATGCAGTGAAGTGTGAACAGAAGACCAGCTCCAATTTGGGTTCAGATTAACCCATGCAGGGGAGTGTTACTGAAATGTACATGAGCTGACACATAGACACCCCATTCTTGCTCCCATAGCCCAGTTTCTCTTTCTTTGAACCCTCAAGTTGATGGGTGAAAGGTGTAAGTGCAGTATTTCTTGCTGGTGCTAACTCTTTGAAACTGCCACCCGGCAAAGAATTGTTGCCTTTATTTTCCTCTTTCTCTCAGGAAATGTTACGAGCTACCCCTCTCTTAGCAGGTGTTTTGAGACGATTTGATCAGTGGTCTCCAGTGAGTGAGTAATGATACCAAAAGAACATCTCCTCTGACTTGGAAAGGTGTGACAGAGGGAGGGGGAATGTACTGGAGGCTCGGTGGATTAAATCTGTCCTTTCATCTCAGGAGAGCTGGGTTTTAGTATTGGCTTGATCTCACAGCGAAAACTACTTTGTGGACCTGGCCTACTCACTTTTATGTGAAAACTTGAGAATATATAGTAGGACAGACTTCATCCTGAGGGAATGCTTTTCCTATACTCACCTGGCCCCAGTGTCCTGTCTTCCTATAGCTAGTCAGGGAAGGACTAGCAGCCTGGAAAGAAATGCACAAAAAAACCTTTATGCAAAGAGCCCATTTCCCATGCACCAAACTCTAGAGAAAACATTGACCTTGTAACAGGCTTTGGTGGAAGAATAAACCAGACGGAGAATAAATCCGTGAAATGAGCTGGGGAAACTTGCACTTCTGAACCCCTGAATGAAAATCCCGTTGTAGGAAATAGAGATCTGCCCCTGCCGCCCCTCCCCCCCAGTGATAAAATCTTGTAACTACTTTAATTTCAAAGTCATGGTATGTCTTATTCTACTGGGGAAGAAAATCGGAACCCTGGCATCTATCCTCAGTTCTTACTTTATGGTGTGTGTTGTGGCCCAGAGCTGTGATCCTGGAAGGGGGTACCAACTTGCCAGCCCCAGAAATGCTGGCTTGTAAACTCTGTGTGTTTCTGTTTGCCATTTGGTCCCTGTTTTTGCTGTGGGGCTGGGGAAGGGAAGGGTCACTGCTTGTAGTCTGTCTGGGCCACTGTTGCCTTAGCCGGCGGCGCGCACAGCGGTAACATGAGTGCCGCTGTCCTGTTACCATACGCCTTTTGCTTTCTCTTTCTTTAAAGGGGTTTGACGCGGGTTCCCAGAAGTGCCTTGCCGGGCATAGGATCTGCCCATCGCTACCTACTTTAATGGTTTTGAAATTACAGAAACAAATGCATTTTTAAGACGTGAGCCTCGGTACCGGTTGTCTTACAGCGTGGCTCTTCCAATTCCTCCACAGCGTAGCCATCAGCAGGCATTTGATTCTGTCCACAGGAACAACCAGGGCTGGAGCCTAACACCTTTCTCTAAACTTTGCCAGTTTCTGCCTGACCTACGCTCATCCATGGTATGAGAGGGAGGGAAACAGTGGACAGGGAAGAGTGTGTGTGTGTGTGTGCGTGTGTGTGGCGGGATGGGGAACTACAGCTGTCCCAAAGGCAGTGAGTAGATGGTGTCATGTTTCCACCAGCATCGTATTTAGCTCCAGTGCAGCCGGCTGACCTTATTCCATCGGCCCAGGGTTTCTCACATTTTCCTTTCCATGGCAGAGGATGACCGGTCCCTCCCCACCCGAGATCTCTTCTGGCTGGAGTGTGACAGGGGGCCACTGATGGCACGTGTCTGCTTTTCCTTTCTAGAGAACGTCCATCTCCATCCCGGAACGCTGCTGCACCTGAGAGGCTCGAAGCTCTGAAATACCAGCGGATAAAGAAGCCCAAAAAGTCATCCAAGGGCTCCTCAAAATCCAGAAAACAATCCAGTGAGTGTGAGGATCACCAGACTCCCCACTAGTCTCCCTGTCCATCCTCCGTTTGAGGCCTGGTGCAACGCTCATTAAAGTCTCTGACTCTAATGGGAGTTGACTCAGGCCGGTGGACTGTAGGTCTCTATTTGAGCTACTATAAAACCTGTGTTTTATTCTCTTGCTCAACTATTCCTTATAAAGGAAGCCGGCTCTTTTTCCACGAGGCCACCAGGGCTTCCTAGCTCCTTTCAGCTGTAAAACGGAAGGCCCCATCTCCTGGCTTTTGTTTTTTTTATTTTCCTTGGGATGTTACTCCAGATCTTAGTCCAGAAGAGGAAGGAGATAACTTCCCTTTATAGTCCTGAAACTAGCTGGAGAGCCCTGGAATGACCCTTCTTCCAATGCCTTTAGTGGCTCTCTATCCATTTAAATTCAAGATCCTCGTACATCTCTCCACCTACATCTCTGCTGTCATTTCCTCCTGCTCCTTCTCCAGCCCCCTATCTTCTCCTCAGGTCCTCTTCCCTTTGTCTCCTCCTCCCCCGCCAAGCTATGTGCCTTCCCTACACTTAGAACAACCTTCCTCTTCCTATCCTATATCAAATCCCTCCAGAAATCCTCCTCAGTCAGCTGAGCATCCTGTGTTCACCTTCTCCCCAGCCAAACCACCGAGGCTGGTACGTTGTCCTGACTTAGACTGTGAGCTTCCCAGGGCCGGGCCCAGGCATTTGTTTCACACGCTCTGTAAAGCACCACATCAGCTCGTGGCATTGTTATAGGTAACTAATCCTCTTTATCTCTTGTCCTCCTCCTTCTCTCTCCCTCTTCAGATGGTTCTGCCTCCCAGGTTCAGCACCTTCCCAACTCTCAGGTACTGTCGCCTGACGAAGCGGTCTCCCTCCGCAAAAAGAAGAGACACTCTCGTCAGGATCCCTTCGCTCGCCTCTCCGCATTGAAGGATGACCTTTGCCACCGGCAGCTCCCTGAGGACCAGACAGCTATTCTCAACAGCGTGGACCACGATGATTCTGGCGGGCATGCCACCTTACTTTAGCGTAGCACCAGCCAGCGAAGGTTCAAAGGTGGGGGGGGAGGAGGGAGAGGAGATCTCATGAGCTACAGACGCGTGTGGGGAGAGATGGGGTGTGAGCGTCAGCCTGGGTTCTCATACCAACAAGCTGAATGTGCAAAAGCGATCGTATTTCACTGGGTGCACACAGTCTGTTTGGTATCACATCCAGGAAACCCAGCATCCAGTCTTTGCCCACTGGGAGAGGCTCTCCCTTTCATAGGACACCTTCCATTTAGTGCGGGTCGTGGGGTGGGGTGGGAGGGAGGAATATCCTAAATTAGAGGGATGGAGGGAAAAATACCCTAGCCTCACCCACCCCCTGCCATTTGGAACAGGAAAAGGTGAGATTGGGGCTTGCAGGGCTCAGAGTGAGAGGGATTCAAACTTAGTGTTGTCATAAGAGTCTGTTGTTCCTCGAATCCCCCTCTCTCTGCTACGGCTTCAATTTTATGAGTGCTGGAAGAAGGATGAGATTTTACATCTTGGTTTCCAAAAGTTATGTATAGATTTAAAAAAAAAAATCATAGATGCAGTTTGCAGTGTATATTTATACAGTGTGTATTTAGGTAGGAACATGGAAGTAAGCAAATGGCCTGAACTCACAGGAATCATTTGGATTCCACAGAAAACAATGAAATGACACACAACAATCCAGATTGGAACCGATGACCCAGTTAATCTGATTATTTTAGAATAATGCATTACAAAATTATCCCAGAAAACTTTACCCGTGCAAAATCTCATTGCCTCTCCAACTTTTGGCCCAAGGATGATGGATAACAAAAACACAAATTATATTTTACTTCCGTCCAAAACCCTCCCCCAAAACTCCAGGATAAGTAGATGTGTGAAATCTTGCAAGGTCACACACAAGCGCACTTTCAAAACTTGTTAATTTTAAGGTAACATCTCTTTGCAAACCTGCAAGGATGGGGGTGGAGGGCGGAATTTAAATCCGAGGATCTTCAGTCTCAAACGAGGCTTTTGTCAATGTTGAGGAGGGGGTTTAGATTGTCAATTTATTGTTATTCTTAGTGATGTTCCGTAGTTCACTTTGTAAGATTAATGAAGTCTTCGAATACAAGAGCTCACGACTGGAGTGTTTACGGTCTTTAAGCTTTGCTGCCGAGTGAGGAGAGAGCTCGGACTTTTTTTCTGCGTGGAATGTGAATGGAAATGGTTCTGCTGGCGCACCCCACCAAAAAGCCCTGGCTGGGATGATTTAGTTGGGGATTGGTCCTGCTTTGAGCAGGGGATTGGACTAGATGACCTCCTGAAGTCCCTTCCAACCCTGATATTCTGTGATTCTATGAACTTCAGTCTGCATCTTCCAATCTGTTGCCCCACTGATGGATGTGAACCAGGCAAACACAACAACGCCTGAGAAAAGGCTTTTGGAAGGTAACTTTTGGTCCCCGGAGCTGAATAATTGCTTCTAGCTGCAAGCAGTAGAAACAAATTCCGTCACCTTGCATCAATTCTAAATATGTTGCTGATATGTCCCCTCCCCTGTTCCACCTCCGCCCCAGTTTTAGAATGAATGTGATGCATTGGGTTTTAACACTCCCAGGATTCAGTCTGAGGAGTTACGTGGTCATCCTTTTACCAATGCCATTCCAGCTCTTCGCCAGAGTGTATTTTTGATTCAGATTAGTTGAAGACCGATTCACATGTCCATCAGTTTCTCTCTGGATTGCATAGGTCTATATACGAGCGGCAGCTCTGGTGTAGTGAATGGAATGTGAGGCTAGGAGTCAGGATCCCTGCGGTGTCTTCCTGGTTCTGCCACTGACTCATTGTGTGGCCTTGGGCAAGTCACTTAACCACTCTGTGCCTCAGGTTCCTCATCTGTAAAATGGAGATAATGATACTTAAGCTCCTTTGTAAAGCACCTAGAACTCTACAGATGGAAAGTGCTATATAAATGCTAGGTATTATTATATTCCAATATTGAAAAATATTTAGATACTTTCTAAGTGGCAAGATCAAACAGTGCATCCAGGTCTTTGTGTATTTCATCCCTTGTGCTGGAGTGTGAAGATGGTAGCCTGCCTGGGAATAAAACAGTTACGCTTTTGAAAGTATTTCATGTGGGTGTGTTTTTGCTTTAAGTGAATTCAGGATGTAGAAACAGTCTCAGGTGAATCCTGGGAGGACCTAGGTACTTCTTTGCACAGAATCTCCACAGCCCAGGCCTTTCACTTGCATACTTCCCAAGGTGGGTGGGTGTGTGTGTGTGTCTGTGTTTGGTTTTTTAAGTGGGATGGCCACAACACTTTCACCAGTCTTGCTGTGGTGAACACGTGCTTTGACTATTATACTTGCTAATGGTTGAACCTCAAAGGGCTCAGTGGCTGGACGAGGCATCCAAGAGTTTCAGATGCTTTGTAAAAATGAACAGTTTAGATCAAGCAATATCAGTGAGTCAAGTGGCTGGGTGAAATTTAAAAATTTCACCAAGAAGTATCCCAGGAAGACTTTTATGAAGGTTTTTGTTTCCAGTCGCATCAGATGTTCAGAAACCACAATAATAATAAAAATGGGTAAACTCTTTCAAACATCAAAATTCTGATTAGGCTCCAACCACATCAGAGAGAGCTCTGTGATAAACAGTGGTATTTTTTTCCAACTTAAAGGATTCCATCCAACAGGAGACAGATTTGCTCACAAGGGAGAGGAGGATACTCTGCGTAAAATCTGAATCTCGAGCAGGGATTGGGGCATTTTGGCAAGCATACCGTTGATGGCCCTGGCTAGGTGAGAAACCAACTTTGCCTGTGGCCCGAATGAGTATTTCTTTCTGTACTTTTAAGGATTGCCCTAGGCTCCACTAGGACCTGGATTGGATTTCATGTCACTTGCACACTGGGTGTAAAAACTGAGCCCATATGACATCAGCTCACAGATGTTAGTGCCAGATTGAAAAACAGAAACTGATTTCTAGCCCTGGTCCAACAGGCCAGCTGTTTTTTTAAAAAAGACGTTTTCTCAACGGGGAAGGAAGCAGTTAGCAGTAGGTACCGTCTCAAAATTTTCCAGGAACCTCTGCCTTCAAGGTTCCCAATCTGTGGGTGTGTCCTCACGTACGCTAATGTCACAAGACTCTGGACCCCCTCCCGTCTGTGGCACAGAGGTAGGCTGTTTTACTACTGCTTCCAATCTCTAGGTGAAATTGGTCCCTGTGCAGAGGGGGTAGCACAATGTCTACGCACCACTTAAGTCTCTCTGAAGCTCTATTTTGATGAGGTGCATAGGCCTTCTGCTGACTCTCTGTACAGGGCAAACTTCACTTCACTTTCAAAGACCCTTCTTTCTTCTGCTCTTGCTTTGTAACCGTCCATGCAGGATGTTTACTTTTTGAGCATTTTCTGGGCTATTCGTGATAGCTCTTCATATTAACAGGGCAGTATCTTGGGTCTCTTGGGATGACTGTCTCCTCAAGGCCCTCTCACTGTCCTGATGTACGTAGCCCTAGAGGACTTAGATGCAGGGCCGACTGGCAGAATATGTCAGCTCACTTGGTCCGTCTTCTACAGGTTTGTTTCTTTTGCAGACACTTTGAGCAGAGAGCCCCCTGCTTTCCAGGGCCTTCAACCGTTAGCGACTGGAGCTGCCGCCCTCTCTGTCTCTTTCAGCTCTGTGAGCCATATAGAACCCAGGAAAGGGAAATCCAGCCTCTTAGAAGCCTCTGTGAGCCTCTTAGAAGCATCTTTCCTTTTTCAAACTATTCTTCAGCCTTTACAGCTGCCTCCTCCCCATCTCCTTTACCTTAGTTACTGTTGTGGTTCATGTTTGGGGAAGAGGGAGATGCCGGGCACGAAGGGAGAAAATATTGGCTCCCTTCAACCATAGCAAATGTGGCCTGTGTTCCGGCAAACGGCCTCTCCCCTCATTGTGGAAACTGCTTTCACAACCGTCTGGCTTTGATGGCCTTCACAAGCGGGTTTTCTTTTCACCTTGGCAACCTGGGACATTTGAGCTGTGCCAAAGGATGCCAAGCCTTCTCCCGTTTCCGCCCCGTTGAAAACCTTTTGCCTTTTTCTTGGTCAGCTGCAAACACAGCTTTTTATTTAACCTGGCAGAAAAATTCCTGGGTCGAATCCCCTTTTTGTAAAGCTGTCCTGGCTGGAAATTTTTGCTGTTTCATTAGCAAAATTATGGCCACTCCCCATGGAAATACAGCCCTTTTTATTGGTTTCCCTGGAAATCCCAGGCAACACCAGAAAACCCACTTTCACGGGACCTGTGGGGCACCACCAACAGCAGGAATGTTTTTCATCTGGCTCCACCGAGCGCTCCTGCTTTGTCAAGCATGTAAATACCACAAGATCATAACATCAAATCCATCGATGCTTGCACCTTTTTGGGAAGTTGGTTTTCCTGCTGCGTAGAATATTTCTGTGTAAGAATTCTCCCCATCGCAATCCTTCAGCTCCTTTTCCACATCATCTCAGTTGCCAGATGTTTTTACAAGACAACTTTTCCTGTTGCAGCTAGGTGTGGTGGTTTGAGGACATGGGCAGCAATGTGGGGGGGGTGGGAGTGCAGGTGCGTTGCTATAATTTCTGCAGCTCAACAGTGAAGTGGTACCTCAGATGTATACTGTGAGTATCAGCCGTGGACGTACAAAATCAACTGACTGAAGCAGAAAAAGTTTGATGGACTTGAAAAGTAGTATTTAAATCTGACTATACCCTAGACTTCCTTTTAAAACTGAGGGAGGGAGGAGCCAAGCAGAACTTCCTCCCTCACTATATTTTGTTCAGCAAATGTATATTGTCTCCCAGGATTGCCCCTGGATGCCCTGATGTAAAAGTTTTCTCTGCAAAGGGCTAGTTGTTGCACTCTGAGAAAAGAGGAGAACTGACTAAACTGCGCTGTCAAAGTTTGGAGGGTTCCCCTGACCTCCTCAGAGCGCAGGCTTTGTATGGCATTCCAGCTAGCCCTGCAGATTTGTTTTGAAAAAATTAGGCCCAACCCTTTGAAACTCAGATTTGCCTTGCAAATCTATTCGTTGTTCAGAACGTCTTAGGTTTATAAGCAACGTGTACTGGTGTGAGGAGGGAGACTTAGTAAGTGGATTTGGGGGTTAATACCTGCATGTAAAGTAGGCACTTGAAGAAAAATGATTTTGCAGTTAAGGTACCGGACTGGAATTCAAGAGACCTGGCTTCCGTTCCCAGCTCTGCCATCGACTGTGAGAGCTTGAGTGAGTGACTTAATGTCTTTGTGCCTCAGTTTCCCCTGCCTGTAAAATAAAGTAGGATTGTTATCCCAATCTCAAGGAGGAGCGATGAGGCTTAGTTATTAATAAAAAGAAAAGGAGTACTTGTGGCACCTTAGAGACTAACCAATTTATTTGAGCATAGTCTCTAAGGTGCCACAAGTACTCCTTTTCTTTTTGCGAATACAGACTAACACGGCTGTTCCTCTGAAACCTTAGTTATTAATGTTTGTTTTATGATTTGAGACCTTCAGATGGAAAAGGCTATGACCTGTGTGGTCATGTTATGTATAGATACCATGGTATCTGGAGGCTATTATAAATTCACAGGATAGAAGTGCAGTGTATTTCTTCTCAGATGTCTAAATATGCTTTGTGAGTGCTGACCTATACCAGTCAGATGCTGCCCCCAGATGCAGAATTGAGCACCTTGTCTTTAACTCCCAGATTTCTTGGCTCTTCTTTTCACTAATCCAGGAAGTCCTGGTGGTGGGAATCCATGATAACTTTTCCAGTGTATGGAGTTTGCTACCTGAACAGCAGCTGGAATACCTCCTTGGTCACTTACTTCCATTCTCCTGTTGTGAGTTTTGAAGGCTGTTCTCAGTATGTTGAAGGCGCTATGTCTGCTTGTGGTGTCTCAGTTTATCTCCACGGCACTGGACTGTGATTCAGCCGTACTTTCAGGGAGAATTGGAGACGACGATCCTGTTTCTCGTTTGGTGTGGAGGAAAAGCTGAGTCAGACATGCATGCAAATCGCAGGGAGTTGTGTGGTGATAGCTACTGAACTGCATATGTAATGTTGGCTTGGTAAGTGAAGTTATCCCCTTATTAAATGGAACTGAAAGGCCTGGTTTGAGCATGCGACTGGGTGCCAGGAGTTCTATTCCCATCTCTGCCACTGGCTCAGTCTGTGGCCTTGGGCAGGTCACTTCACTTCTCTGCTTCAGTTTCTCCATCTGTAAAGTGGGGACAATAATATTAATTTACCTACCTCACAGGAGTGTCGTGAGGATTCATTAGTTACTATTAGTAAATCCCTTTGAGGATAAGATGCACTAAAAATGCATATTTGATGGGGCTGGCCAGGGAGGGCTGAAGGACAGTCCACCAGTGCCGCTCCTAAGTCTGCCAGAGGGTCATTCTCTCCTCCTCCTCCTCCTCCTGTTCCAGCCGCTATCAGCTTGGCAGAGAGGCCAAACTGTAGTCCCAAATGCAAACTTCCTCCAAACACTTGGTCCAAACCTGCTTCTTAGTGGTTAATATCATTTGTGATGGGGACAGCATTTCCGATATCTTACTGCTTTAATCCTTTTTTTTTTTTTTTTTTTTAAACGAGCAGTTTCACTCATGGGTTTTAGGTGAAAAGCTAGACGTTTGGATGGACACTGAAATATTCCAGGTTTAGTCGGATTTATTATTTTGGAACAATTAGCTAGGCCTTGTCCACATGAGAGAGTTGGCACAGCTATAACTTGAGTCGGATTTTAAAATGATGTAGTTGAAATAGTGCAAAAGTTGGACACTCATATTTTGGGTTAAGAGTGGCTTATTTTCATTTAGTTAAACCTGCTTCTAATGGTTTTAAACAAAACTAAAATAAGTCTCCGGTTTAACTAGATCACTTTGAATTCTCACCTAAAATTATACCAATGTAACTTTCTCATGTAGACAAAGCTTTAAGGCGCTCTTAAACTGAAATAAGTGTGTTCACACAAGGGGAGTTGCATCCATTTAACTGAATAGGTTGGTACAAGTTTCTTGTGTAAATTTGGCCCTAGATTTATTTATGTGCATTTTTATCTCTCCTGTTCATTTGTATTACAGACGTGGAGCAGGATTTTTCCAACTTAGCACAACATATTAAGAAGGTGCAGGATTCTCTGGGCAATAAGCAAAAATCATGGCATTTGTTCAGGGACACTCGTGTGGATGCAAAATTCTTAAAGAAATCGGATTTCAGAGGCCGTAAAGGGTGAGATTCTGGTCCCTGATGCACTGGTGTAAATTTGGAGACCCTCCATTAACTTCAGTAAACAATCTAACTAAAAACAAACTTATCCTAAAAAAGGTACATTTGGGAAACGATCCCTGTTTGTTGAGGTCTAATGACAGTCTCATAAAAGCAGAAGCTGGATTTTAATAAATAGTGCCAAAGAGTTAATTGATGGATATCTAATGAATATGTAGTGCACAGCTTAATGTCTTGTCTGAGCTGTCCTGAGCCGCACCACTGTAGCAGCTGTGGTGTTAATGTGAGGGATTAGTGAACACGCCTACGCGGGGACGTGGCATCTCCTAAAGAGGTTCACATTAGTCCCCGCAGTAAATATATGTGGGGACATCCATCTCTTCTGTAAATCCGCTGCAGTCAGTGCTGTTACCCCAGAGGTAAATATGGCCTGTTCTCCAGACTTGGGTGTATTTTATGCCCGGTGACTTTGCTTTCATTCTGAACTCTCTCTTTATTTGAGAGACAAACCATTTTTAGAATTGCTGCTTATTGTTGAGGAAGGAGGAGAGAGAGAAGTCCCTCTTGGGCTTTAAGGGGTCAAAAAGGCTAAGGAGGGGCTTGGATGGAGAGAGCATGGACGTGGTTAGTTTTCTCCAGCACAGGTTTGTCCTTGTCCAATGGCTTCTGGACAAGATGACTTCATTTGAGTCCGATGCTGCTGCTGTTTTAAAATCCCTCCTTGGACAGCAGCCGCCTGAGTGGATTGTTTGGGGTTTTAGAAAACTAATTTTTGTTAGAATTTGTATTTCTTCAACTTTTTTGTCCTATGTCCCCACGAGGTAGCTGAAGATGCACATAGGTGACTTTTCCCTTTTTGTTTTAGTGGTAGGCTAGAACCAAATCCATGAATCTAAACACGTCTGAACTTCGAGAAGTTTGGATCCAAGTCCAAACTCGATGGCTCAGGCCCGTCTCTACTTGGATTTGGAGGCTGCAGAAATAGTTTTCCAGTGAGGATGGACCATCAACTCCAACTTCCTCTATTTCGTCACTTTCTGTGAACCTCTTGGGGTTCACCAGTCGCTCCAGCCTGGAGCTGGCAGTTGATCCTTCTATAGAAAGGAACATTTCTGAAGAACTGAAAGAGATGTACATAAGCGCTATATAAATAGGTAGAGAAACATAGGAGAAGAGGTAGATGTAGACGCACAGAATTCTGATATATTCGCATGTAAAGGGGATGTTGAGGGTGATGGGTATGAGGTGGGGTTGGGGGGAAAGTGAGGGAGGGAGAGAAGGGGATAGAAGCAATCAGACTCTAGGCAGGATATAGGAACAGAGACAGGCATGGAGCACCCCTCCCAGCTACTCCCCATTACGAGGGCCTGACCTTCATTTTGTTCCTCTGTCCCCACATCAGGACCTGCTTCTTTTTTCCTCTCTAACCATTGCAAATAATTTAAATCACCGAATCATGGAACCAAGATGGCAGCAATGGGATGCATTCAAGCTAGCCGGCCCAAGGAGCGGAGAGGGGAGCTGCGTGAAAAAGGTGTTTAGCCCAGGCCCTGTCTGGACTGGGAAGGAACTGAGACTTAGCGGAGAGGAGCAGCCTCTTGTACTGGAGCTAAAAGTCAGTGGGCCCTGGGCCCCATGAGGCACCAGTTTCTATGGGGTCCACAGAGACCTACATCTTCACTTGCTGTTTTGGGTCTTGGCCTTGTGTATGGACTCAAGCGGGGGAGAGGGCCACTGAACGGTGAGCTGGGGAGTGAGCGGGACAAGTCGGTGGCTGCTCAGGCAGTGTCGGTTTCCTCACAGACACATGATAGTTTTGAGGCCCATGAAGTGATCCCAGCAGGACAGAGTCCCAGGGACATTGGGCTGAGATGTGGGCTGAAAGGGTTCTCGCTTGTTTGCTACCTAGCATCTGAACTGAGGGCGATTTTGAAGCACGGAACACCCACAGCATTTACTGTGCAATCCTCAGAGACCTCATAACTACATCTCAGCGTGACCAGGAACAATATGTGCAAGAAACTGATTACTTGTGCCACCAGTCTCTCCGTGTGGCTGCTGGACAGTCGACTGTCAGCGCGGTTTCTCACTTGGCAATACAAAATGGCAGCTTATTTCAGTATCGGCTCTTAGCAGAGGAGTTGGGTTGGCTTTGCTTCCTGTAGGCTGGCAAGGGCTACACTCTTCCAGCAGGGCTGTGAACTGCCACTGGTGGCCAAGCCAATGCCCCAGGAGGCCTCAGGATATCTTTGAAAGCAGCCTGTCCTGCTTTGTGATGCATGCATGCACGTATGCAGATGAAGATGGTGCGCACGGTCAGGATCCGTGTGCTTGCGTGAAAATGGATGCATGTCTGTATGACTAACCCCAGTGTGTGCATGTGTGGGGGTGATGTTTGCAGTGTTAGATATACTTACACAGTACAAGGAGAATTGAGACTATCTTGCTGCCAGCCACACACTAAGATCTGAATTTGCTCCCTGTGATGTGCATTGGAGTCATTTGTCAGGAAGTGTGTTGTGGTGGGGGAGGGGTAATGAATAATAGTGCTGTTGTCACTGTTTTGATGTCCATTTAATGGAGAACAAGAGCCGAATTCTGATCTTGGTCTGCGTTTACACTAGTGTAACTCCATTGACTTGACTGGAGTTACTCCAGTCTGTGTGAGAACAGGTTTCCAGGGGTTCAGTAACCAGGTGCAACTCCCATTGACTTCAGTGAACTTACACTTGCTTATACCACATTTCCACATCTCTGCTTATGTGGTCTACTGACTATCTTACATCCTTGGGTGGAGGGCCTGCATCTGAGCAGCTCTCAAACTGGACTGCCAAAATTGCCTGGCACAGGGAGTGCTGTAGACGGGAAGCATGTAGATGCCTGGGGAGGATTAGGAAAGGCATGTATATAAAAATCCTCTCTCCAACAAATGCTTTGCTATGTAGTATTTAATGGCACCTCATTTGTTCTCTGACTTTGTTTTTAAAAACAAACACACAAAAGCCCTCTAATATAAAATCCATATTGATTTTACTCTCTGGTCACTTATGAGGTGAAGTGGAACCTGCGCTTTTCAGAAACACTTGCTTCTGAGGAGACCGATGAAAACCTATTGCTTTTATTCCTCGATTTGAGAAATGTAGCATTTTCCATGCCAGATTGTACCACTGGTCAATTGAAACTAGTTCCCTCCCATAGACATTTATGCCAGAAACTTCAGGGAAAGATGAAAACCCCTATAAAATGGCCTGTTGTCAAGGGTTTTTATTTGGGGTGGTGGGGAGGGCGGGGAGTTTGTGTGGCTTTAGATTAAAAGGCTCGTTACAGCTGAGAAAGCAGCGATGGCATTGGTGTGTAAGGCAATGTGCCCTCAAACTAAACTGGTTTGGCAAGATTGACACACGTGAGAGATTTGTGTAAATTGGAGAGTTAAATTTAATTTGCACTAGTTTATATACACACACTATTTCACTTTTGTGGTAGGAAAACAGATCGCTGTATGGAATTACTAGTGTCCACCAGGGAATGCTCATAAAGCTTTATTCTGCTCTCCGAGAAAGGGGCTTGAGGCAGTTAAATTTGGATGAGAGCTGGGGAAGCTCGGAAGTGAGTTCAGTTCTTCCCTGCCCTCTCCGCAGGATACACTCCATGCGGAGAATGTTCTTCGTCAGTTTGTTGTTCTGTCCCTATCAGCTATTCTTTGAGATGGGGTCCCCCCCGCCCTCTTGTGTGTTAACCTAATAGACTCCTCAATGCCTGTGTGACTGTTCCTTGTCTTTTGTATGGCAATATGTATCTCACCCAGTTTTGTTGGGTAACCTCAGGACATGTGCAATCGAGAGGTCGTGCCCAACCCAAATGCTAATGGCTCTGGGAGTTTGATAAATTCATGGCTTAGGACTTTAAATAGGGAGAGGGAGGTGGGTTGGCCTGGGTCTTGGGGATTCAGATGTTGCAAGCATGCTTTTTGGTGATATGTAAGGATTTTTAAATTTAAAAAAAAAAAGGGGGGGGTGGAGTATTCTTGTAATTCCTGAGTAATGAGGGGTGGTTCTGCCCGCTTCTTTGCTTCAGGACAGAGTGTAAGAGCTGATGAACCACTGGCAACCTCTTCTGAGATCAGGTGGCCTTCAGCTCTCAGGGTCTGGTCCATTAGCTGCCAGTGCATTGCACAATGCATTGAAATACCTCCTGAATGGCTGGAAGCTCTGGGGAGGTATGGAATGAGGGACAGGATGTCACATAGCTACCACTGTGTATAGGCAAGCCTGTTTGTGTGAAGGAGCTGGGAAGCCAGGCCCCTTCCGCTTGCTGGTGGGGACCAGGAATCTCCTTGATCCTCCTTTCATTGCAGACAGAGCGAGATTTGGAGCTAAAATCTGCCTTCCCAATGCCCCCGTGCAACCCAATTCCCCTCTGGATGTAACCAAGGGGAGGAGAGTTTGGCCCAAGGTTTTGAGTGACCAAAACCAAGGTCTCTCTCAACAAAGCAGGAGGGCTTCTTTTCCGTTCCTCTTGAGGGTACAGGATAAAGCTCCCTTGAGAAGCCAACAGACCTATAGGGGCTATACATCTCCCTTGGAAAAGTTGATCCTGGGGCTTGAAACTGCAAGTATACGTCCCCTGTTGTTTCTGAAACACCAGGCGACAATGAAACCGACTTGACGGGTCACAGTGTCTGTATGACCCCATAAATACGTGATCTTTGTGCATTGAAAATGGCATTGTATATACAACGATATAAATATATATTTACTTTCTATTTTAAAGGGGAAGGGAAATAAATAAGAAGTATTTAAAAGAAAGTACTTTATTAATATGCATCCAAAATGTCCAGGAGGCTAAAGAGAGAGGCTGTCAGAAGTGGAGAGACTCTAACAGCTGGAGCAAAGGTAGTATTTTTGAATTGTGTTGCATTTAGAGTCCTCCACTTGTTCATCCATATATAAATATAGACGTGTGTGTGTGTGTGTATATATATATTTATATATAGTAAATCACATAGTTTGCTTTATTTTTTGTACCCACGCTTAGCTCCGTTTTGAGCAACACAGTGTCTTAAGGTGATCGTGGGCTTTGTGATACAACAGATCTTCTGCGTGGCCCAAACAAAATGTCCCAGCTGAAGGTGTCCTCTGGATCAGGTGGGTCCATTAGGAATTCATGTGATCTTTTACCCTGGCTGGAAGCACAGGGGGTGTTGGGCAACACAGCCGGTTTGGGTGGCTTCCTGTATGAGCTTCAAATCGTTCTGTTCCACATTAGTTCTTGCCATTCATGCCTGTGGTGCAGCGTATCTGTTCTGTGAAGTGCATTTAAGTTGTCGCTATAGTATACTATCACTTCGGAATAAAAGGAAAAATAACGGGGGGGGGGGGGGGCATGTTTAAAAACCATAAACCAGAGGAGGTGGGGAATGGCTGATGCACAGACGCACCGGGCCACTATAAACTGGGTGCACAGACCTTGTGGAGTATTACAGCATTCGTTTTTGCCATGTGCGCCTTTTGAATGGATATGCAGGCTTATGGAGGCCTATTCTAGGAGGTGTCTTGTGAGAGGAAAGGGAATCTGCTGCTAATGTGAATTAGGACCGACTGCAATGAGGAGAAGGTGCTTGTAGCTGTATTTCTGCTTTAGGCAGCGTTTGACGTTTGTTTTTCAGAGAAGTGAATTTGTACTTTATTTTTAAAGCTGTTTATTGGAAAACAAATGAGCCTTTTTGATTTAGATTAAGAAATCCAAGTCCTTAACACCTCCTGCAATTACCATCAGAGTGGGATAGCTGTGTTTTCACCACCCAGCCGGGCAGCCTCTGCATTGGATGAGCTGGCTCTGGAATGACCTGAGAGGGAAGGTTGGATTTGGCCATGTTGAAGATGATACTGTTCCATAGATCTGTTGTGGGCCCCTTCTGAGCTTCTCCAGATGTAGTAGGTCTTAGAAAGGGTGTGCCATTACCTCGTTATGGTTTCCATTGGTTACCAAGCCTTGTAGGCCCTCTGTCTTCTAAGAATGTTTGTTGCCTTTCCAAAACCTGCAGAGAACTCGGCATCTAATAACAGGGCAGATTGGGGCTGGGGGGCAGCTGTAGCTGACATTTAAAGAGCTATTTTGTTCAGCACATTGGACTGGAACAGCTCTCAGCAGCTACAGACTTTGTCCACTGGAGGCCTCCAGCTTTCAGGGGATCCTCAGTGGAAGCAAGGCTTTAAGTGGATTTAATTTTTGTAAGCTTGGGAATGCCATGGAGACTTTTGATGTTTGCAGGGAGTCCCTCATGTGACCTCTAGACAGACTCAGTTGGGGGCATATTGTCTGTAGGTTTCACCCGTATCGTGGAATTCAGTTGCCCACTGTAGCAGGGCATCATCTCTCTAGGTACTTTATATACCTGTTCTAAAAGGATCGTAGACTTTGAAGCCTCATTAGGTATCCTCTGGGACTGCCGTTTCCTGTCCCTCTCACCAGGCTGTCCAAAGCCAAGGTGTCCTGTCTATGGCACAAGCAGAGATCATTTCAGAGGTGTAGTTTTTAGCTCACCACAATTCCTCTTGGCCAGCAGGGTGAATTCCATGAAATAACACGCAGTTCCTGAATGAAAACAAAACCCCACTCCCTTCCTACTGGAGTTTTAAAGGGGCAGGACTGATAACTGCGCTGCAGGTACAATAGAGTCGACTACTGAAGTTTTTTCAATTTTTCTTCAAAGCAATATTGAACCAAACAAAAAAAACATGACTCAGAATTTGGGTGAGAGAGAAGGCATGTCAAGGCTGAAGGTAATTTCTGAATGATGTGAAAGACTCTGTTTTTTAAACTTAAGGCAAGGATCCTTACTCTGGGTTTCCATTGCATGTTCCCACTGCTGCCTCATCCCAGAGGCATGCACATAGATTCCACAGGCAGAAAAGAGTAGAAGATGGAACTGAGATCTACAGTGCAGTTCAGAAAGACGAGTTTTCACAATGCTGAAAGAGGGATTATCTGTTTGCCAGTTGAGCCAAACAAACTGTGGCTCCATTGAGGCTAGCAGCAACAGTCCTGTGGTCTTCTCTAAGACCAAGGATTGGCACCAGACCTTCAGAAATGTGTGGCCAGGAATGAGCAGTAGGAAGTCCTGAGTTCTAATCCTGACTCTGACACTAGTTTCCCAGAGTGCCTTTGGGCTTGTACAGTGGGAACCAACCTTACCTGCTTACCTTGTAAGGTTGAGGATTAATGAGCTAATGTTTGTGCAGAGCTTTGAAGCTGGAATCTTGGCTTTGAGTAAGTTCTAAGTATTATTATTGTGGACTTGAGGCTTCTAGCTTTTGGCTCATTCTACCTCTTTTTCTCTTCCTGTCTTTGGGCATCTGACTCTGTGGGAGTCAGTGGGAGTTTTGCCTTTGACTTCAGTGGGAACAGGCCCTAAATGAATAATGGGGAGACACTTGCTACTGTTCCCATTAAGCTCTGAGGTCGGAGGCTTGGTCAGAACCCGCAACATGTCCAGTCTGCGTTTTCTTGGGAATTGTCTGACTTCGATAAAGAGAGGCTGAGCAGGTGGCCAGATATGGGGCAAAGGGCCTTGCCCTTCACTTGGAACCAGCAGAAATGTGGCTCCGAGAAGTGGAAGCATGGACAGGAATTCTGGGCCTACCTAGCCTGGGCTCTGGCTGTGCTCCTCCCATCGTTGGCCCCGTAGCCTGACTCACTCACTGAGAGCTGTTCCGACTCCCTTTGATGTGGCCATGTAATTCCCACAGCTGAGTCCACGTAGAACTTTAAATGTTTGGTCTCTTCCTATTGGATTTTGGTCCAAGTGTGTGTTCTTTGTGGGTGACTTTCTCCCCACTCTGCAGAGAAACCAGGCCGGCCATGAGTTCACGAGCATGATCTAAAACCTGAAAGAGGCCATGTAAATGCCCATCCTCTCTCAGGCTGGGTCACTTCACGGAAACGGCTCTGCCAGGGCCACCAGTGGGACAGGCGAGTTGCCTAGGGCAGTGGAATTTGTATGTATTCTTTGTGATGTTGACCCTGTGGCTATGAGAGGCATGCAAGCTCCAGATGTCACACTGATCCGTGCTCACGCAGGTTAGGGAGCCTGTTCTGCCCACATTCCTTCAGTTACTTGTCATGGGGCATTCTGGCCTCCAGCTTTGAGAGCCTAGCCAGCAATAGTCTGGCTGACCTGAAAAGCAATGGATTGTGGTCAGAGAAGCCCTTTGTGTCCTCCCCGACCCCAGATCATGCCTGGCTTCAGAGGAACTGCCACTGTTGATGGGGCAGGGAGGGATGCGTACTTGAGGGAAACATAATCACCCTTCTCCTCCATACTAAAAACTGCTTGCAGTCTTCTCTTTTATGTATGGCTTCCCAGCTAGGGGAAGGGAACAATCAGGAGGAAAAAACAATGGTGTAAACTGCAAAATAGACCTCAAAACTCTTCCATCCCCTTCTTTACCCCAAAGGGGCTGTACGTCAACAAGTAGGTAACCGAGCAAACAGTAAGAAACCCACTGGAGGTGGCCTAAGGGCAATCTCCATATAGAGCAGGCTCCAGTCCCTTTCTCAATATCTTACCTTGGGAAATTTCTTTAGTCCCCAAGAAGGCACTGCGGCATGGTGGGGCGGTATTGTGAACCAGCCCAGTAAGCTATACTGCGCTGCTATCACCGACTTGTCCAAAATGCGCCCAGCACACCAAGCTCTGTGCCAGGGCGACCCCAACCGGCGAAAGCATGAATGTAACCCGTTCAGGAGGGATAGGGACACTAAGAATTCAAGCCCTTCGAAACGGTGCAATTTCTTTCTTCAGTGTCACCTGTTAGGTTTCTTGATCTTCTATTCTTTTTTTTATAAGGGAGTGTTTCCAGTTACAAGCCAAGATTTGTTCAGCACCAATTGCTAAGAGAGCAAAGAAATACATGTTAGATGGCACTGATAGATTGATTAGCAGAAAATATGTGAAACACTAACCAGTAAGGACAAGGACTTCCCCAGTCACCTTGTTCTCGGGCTGGGTGGCTTACCATGCACTTTGAGTGTGGGACACTCAAATTGTGGTGTTTTTTGTTGGGGGCAGGGGTGTTAGCAGCTTTCTTGTTCCCCCCCCCATCCCCCTCTATCCCAGAAATCACTTACAGAAAAAATAATGGTAAAAAGACATTTACAAAGCACACTTTCTACAGTAATATTATTAACCCTCTTGATGCCAAATGCAAACCAACGGCGCCTCGTTTCCAACCTGATGCGCTAGGGTTCAGGGAATAATCTCGGAGACGAGTGTCTGTCCGCTTTCTTTTTTACACCCAAGCCCCGGTGTCCATCTGTTGTACCCACTTCAGACGTCGTGCACGTTTTTGTCGCGCTTCTTGCAGCATGAAGCGTTTGGGGGATTTGCTTTAAATGGATGTTCTGGGAACTTGAGGATTTTTTAAAACCTTAAAAGGACAAATAAGAGGGAGGGGGAGCGAACACAGTCGAAAAGGTGTTTCAGTAAGGGCCCCGCTTCTGGTGCCCACAGTGAGCCTACATCTAAGCCCCCTATAGGATCAGAAGTAAGGGAGGGTGAGTTTACAGCTTTTCCTGAGCTCTCCTTTGGCTTCCATCTACCATGTGGCTGCTTGTTTGGAGTGCTCCATCCATCCTCCTGCCCAGAAGCACTTAAAGGGCCAATCTTACTTTTCAGGTCCCAGTCCCACTCCTGCTTCTGCCCAGTGTTGTTCACAAAGGCCAGTGCAAGGCATGAGGGCTGCTGACGCAGAATGGATCTGGACGGGCTAATGATCTTGGGGATGCCTTTTTCCCCTTCAGTTTGTTCCCTCTATGGGCTTCACATACACGTCCTCCCTTCTCCCCCATGGTCAATAACTACGTAGGCTTCTTTTTAGAATGATCCTGCTCTGGGGCAAGGATGGAGTGCCTAGCATTCTTAGTCTCAAAATTTAAAAATAGCCAACTTAGGACTTTCTGTATAACTGTGGACTTTCTGTTTGGATTTCTCTTGTGGGAAAGCCCTACAGAATTTTAATAACAAATGATCACCTTTCTATTGGTCTCTTGAGTCATCATATGGAGTTTAATAGAAAATTATATCCTTATAGAATTCTGTAGGATAGTTTTGAAACTCCTATATAAAGCTTATCATTTTTCTATTCAATGTGATAAGTTTTTAGAGTCTGTGGAACCCTGTTAAATTTCCATAGGCCCCTATTGGTTTAATTCCCTGTTAAACCGGTGGGATTTTCTTTAGAACGCCAAGTGATCTTCTGTTGTGTAGGGTCTTTTTTTATTTCCTTTTTTTTTTAAACTTGCCTATATTTACAAATGACTTTAACCCTTGAAGAGACCATTCAACCTAGTTTCCATTTCTTGAATGTCGAGTATTACAATGTATAACACACATTAGGGTGCTCTTTGGTGCTGTTTTAAATGGTAGCCAGTGGGACTGGCTTTTTTAATAACAATAGTAATAAAAGAAACATTAGTCCCACTGGTTCCTTAATGTTTGTTGTTGTGGTTTTCTTTCTTTTTTAATAACAGTTAGTGATCTGAACTGAACTTCTGTGCTATTGGTTACTGACATGTGCACGTCAAACGCTTAGCCGCTCTGTCGGTGTGGTGACCATGCTGGCGGCGATTGCAAGTTGGGGTGGCTGTGTAATAATTTAACAATCGTTGGACTTTTTGTTTTCCTTGTGTTTTTAAATTGCACAGATGCACACAGCAAAAATATTCGACCTGAGCCCGAATGGCAACTAGAGGGTTAATTTTTAACTTCAGGTATGATTTTCAAGAGAATAAAATTAAAAAAAAAAAACAAAAAAAAACAAACAGAACACTATTTTTTCAGTAAGCTTTTTTTTTCCTGTAAACAATTTAGAAATAAATCCAAGACATGATGGTGCTGTACCAAAGCCTTATACAAAACTTATTCTGCGCTCTATATAATCTCTCTATAGCTGTATAGTTGCTCTCGGCCTCTGTTTTTGTGAAGGTCTGTAAAATACCAGCAGGGAGCAGTAAAGACTGGGACTTGGCCCTGGAAGTTTAGCCAGCGATGGTGTTTTGTCACTTGGGAGCCAAGGGCAGGGGGTCTCATTTCTGCTGTGGGAAGAGATTGGTCAAATTTTATTCAGTCCCTGACTTTGTAACGAGGGGAGGAAATGGGGATGCTCTCCCCAACTGGGTGCTAATCTGTTCTTGGCAGGTAAATGTAATCTCCTGGGGGATCCGGACGACAACTCTCTTTTTTTTTCCCCCTCTCCCAGGAAACTGACTATGCAGAGAACCCCCAGGAAGCTGAGTGTTTCCCTTTTAAGAGTCTTGAGGGCCCAATTCATTTCTCTCACATTGATGCACGCTGCTTTTGATGTCAGTGGATGTGCCCAGGTGTTACGGAGAAGGGAATTTGGCACTAGTGGGAATACAACCAGCTGGTCCTGAGAAATCTTCCAGCTCAGCCATTCTGGCACTATACCTCATTTGGCTAAAGCAAACACAGACCTTCCATGGTTCTCTCTGTCAAACAATGTCTAGCCCCCCAACACTTCCTTTCTTGCCCTATCCCAAATGAAGAGCTAACCTGTTTGGCATTCACTGGAGGCAACTCCTAGTTGCTTCTAGTTTGGTGGCTCTAAGCAATAAACCCGCTCTGTGTGTCTGCCAAGGATGTTGGCCCCTTAGGTACCTGGACTACTGCCAATTTAAAAACATAGTCTAATAAACATTGGAGGAAAATTAATTTGAAGCCCTGCCTTAATGTGACTGGCTTGTCCTTAGACCTTCACTTGCTGGTATTTTAAGGCCTGCTGAGTACTAAACAACTCATCACCAGTAACATTGCATGTCCATAGATGGATTTTTTTTAAAATATACCCAGTTAAGAAATTATGGCAGTGTTGCAATGTTAAATAAAACTAGCCATTCTGTAGGAGAATGATGGATTTTGGAATTGATAAAGTTTAACATTTAATTGCTCCTCATGTAACATTACTTTGCTTCAAAAATGTTTTGTATTTTGATATAAATAAATATTTGCTTAAAAAATGCTGGCATATGGGGTCATGTGCTCTTGTGAAATCCCTTCCATCCTCTAGTGACCTCTCCCCAGTCCATGTTCCCGCTGATGAGACTTCGGGAATATTCCATCAGTGTCCTGTAGGTCATGTTGAGTGAATCTTCCCTGGTTCATGTGTTGTTGCTACCATTGGGGTAAGTGACTGGAGAATTCTGATTTGGCAGCATCTTATAGTCACGTTACCCTCGTGCGGCAAAAGTGTAAATGATGAGACCGGGCTCAAGAGAAGAAACTGAACTGAAGTTCTGTGCTTGCTGTCCCCTCCCTCTCCTTTGCTCCAGCTGCCTCTCCACAGCCTTAAACAAAGAGAGAAGGTTCTTGGTGTCCCAGGTGTTGACATAGCTGGGACACCGCTGGCTATTACCCAGTGCTGCCAGATCAGTCATGGCAGCAGTCTGACCTTTCAGAGGAGCCCTGGGAAGTCTATGGGAATGGACACCTGGAACCGAACTAAACTATTGGTTCCAACCTTCCTTTTCTTGGAATCCCCCTTCCGATAGACTGGTGGGCGTACCTGCCTTCTGCGTCTCCTCAGGTAATGCCCTGGCACAGTTACCGTGTCCCCATGTCTTTTTTTTGCCATCAACCACGCAATCGTTCGCTCGAATGAGTTAATGGCAGCTTGATCACCTACCTTCCAACCATGCCGTTAAAAGCAGAGCTTCATTTTTGTTCTTGCTCCAAATATGAAAGCCCAACCTTTTGAAGAGAGTTGAGCAGTTTTTCCTGTACAAGTATCTCTCCATCAAGGCATGTCAAAAGAAAACACAAGCCCTTTTCTATTGCGCCCAGAGCTTAGGGAGCAAGGCCCTGTACTAAACAGCAATTATTTAGCAACTTTCAACCTGAGCGATCCCTACATTCTCTCCAAAACCTTTACTGGAACCACTTTGCCCACTGCTGAAATGCAGACTCCTCTAGTGTGGGATAAGACCGCTGTTTCCACAGCGTCGTGACACAACTGTTTGGGGCAGGAAGTGAAGAATCCTGGAGAAACTGCTGCAAGGATTTATGGGGGTAGACTGCAATCCTGAACAATACCTAGCTAGCTAGACCCTGGAATGCCCTCAGGGGAATGGGGTTCATGCCTCATCTTTTATGAAAAGTGCCAGGGGATCTTTAATGGCCAGTGCCTTAGTTTTATGTATCTTGTGGAAAAGATGGCACCTCCAGTAGCACAGTGCCTCTGAGCACTATGCTGGGGCATTGGCTCAATGATGAGTCCGTAGAAAGTGGATCACCACCCCTTCCTGCAGCACCTGGGGGTTCCTTCGTACCTTCCACGAGGTGTAAAATATCTTCCAGTAAACACACTTGCCACAGAAAGCGTTGGAGGGCCCCAGGGCTCTGGCCTGGGATTTGTAAGACCTGAGTTCAATTCCCAGCTCAGCAGTGAACACCATGTGTGACCCCGGGCAATCACCTTGTGCCTCAGTTGCCTCATCTGTAAAATGGAGAGAGCACTTCCCTCCCTGACAAGGGGCTGGGAGGATAGAGCCTGGGGGCTGAAAGGACTTAAGTGACCAAATGCCACTGAAATTCAGTTAGGCACCTAATGCCTCCCTTAAGTGCTTTTGGAAACCGGTGCAGTGCTTCAGCACCCCTGGTGAGGGGGGCCTACATACCACAGAGGGGAGGAGCCCAGTAACTTCCAAGGAAGGGCTTAGGGGCTTCAGAAGGGAGAATCCCTGCTTAGAAAACACAGGAGCCTCCTCCTGGCTTCTTTTATGAGTGGCGTGGGGGGCTGCACAGGGAGGCACTTGGCTGCTGCCACCTACCATTGTTACAGCGCCGGTGGTTGCTGTGTCACGGAGCCTGGTGATGCAACAATGCTGCCCCCTCAACCAGGAGTCTGACTGCAGAGGCCAGTTCCTGCGGAAGAGGGGAACTGAGGCTGAGGGAGGGCTCGCCTCCCAGGGGAGACGGTCCCCTAGGATGATTATTTCCTCTTGGGCTGTGTATATCTTGATGTGTAAATCGGTTGGCCGTCGGTTCCCACCCAGCAGCGTGCAGGTAAGGAGGCGATGGGGTTATTCTCTGGCTTAGCTGTGAGCTCCCCATTAGGCTGGGGCCGGGGGGGAATGCACAGGGTTCATGCCAGCCTCACCCTGTCTGATTCCTTGCAGGACATTAAAGTTGTGGAGACCGAGATGCTGTCCGTGCTAGAGCACTGGCTGAGGAAGGTGAGGATGAGAGCCAGAGAGTAGCAGCATGCCCGAGTTAGTGAAATCCTAGCCAATAAGACACCAGCAAGGACGGTAACCAGGGAGCGGGTTACTGTGTTAGCACCCAGATGGTAAAGGGGGGCACTAAGCCCCAGTGAAATCAATTCAGTGCCTGGACACTGAATTGGGGAGGATTTTAATACCTACCTACCTTGCTAAGCCTAGAGGTGGGGTCGGGGGCAGGATCAGTTCCTGGATCTGATGCAGAAATACACTGCTGCTAAGTGGGGGCATCCTGGATTTTAATGCCTGGTTACCTGGATGCTAACTAGGAGGTAACCACATTGAATGCCCGGTTGTCTGGATGGGTACAGACCAACAGGCCTGGTTTTGGTGCCTTGGTACTTGGATGATAACCAGGACGGAGGGAAGAAATATGGTTCTCATGCCCATCTGGCTCAACATCGGGGCTGTAACCACCCTTGTTATGAAAAAGAAAATCTTGGTGAGGAGACTGTCCCACAACACAGTGGAAGAGCTTGCATTTTTGATCCTCAGCTGTTAAATGTCCCTGATGGTATTCTGGGGACTTTGGAGAGTACTTTAAGCCAAAGGCTCTGAGGTAATTACTTTGCCTCAACAGACATTAACAGTGGATCTTCTTATTTGATACACACCCAGCTAGGAGACTACATTCTAGCCTTCTAAGAGGACTGGTGTGGCAGGTTCCACTCTTCCACCCCTCTGTGTTCCGAAGAGGGGATGGTACCTGCTGGGAAGCAAGGGGCCCAAGTGTTTTTCCCTAAATGGATAGTTGCTTTGTTATTAGCCCTCAGTTATAAAGAAGTATAAAGTAAAACCCCAAGTGCCTAAGAGCCACTGAGGTCTGATACCTGCACAGTTCATTCTAGTCACTGCTCTCCCTCAGGAGTTGCAGGCAAAGCTGCCTAGGAAAGATATTACTACTTTGCTTCTCTTTCAGATTGAAGAAGAAGCTTCCAAGATCTTTAAGCAGAAACTGGAAAACAAGGCAGAAACCAAAGCAGAAACCAAAGTGACCCTTTCTGCTGGCCAAGATTCAGGAATGATAAAGTCACAGGTATCTCCTTGGGACAGTATCCAGGGGGCGGTGTGTGGAGTGAGAGGTGGATGCGTCCTATGACGCTGTACAGGACAAGGTGGAAGAAGCAGAGTCCGTGTGGCATATCCCTAGTTTTAACACACTTCTCTCATGGTGCTATGGGTAGGATGGGCCAGCATGTCCAGTGGGGTTACACCAGGGAGGCATTAGGTGCTCCAACACCTTGACAGTGGGTGAGGTCTGAGAACTTCAACAGAATAGGAAACAATACTCTGTTTTCCTTCTGCTGTTGATACCAAGCTTGGCTTTGCCAGTGAAACCATAGCAGCTACAGATGGCTGGACTGTCTGTCATCCCCTGGAACTTGGTTTAAGACATTCCTTGTATACACCAAACCCCTTAGGCAGCTGGGCCAGGTTCCCAAGGGCTCATTGCTCCCATTCAGGGCCAGGTTTTCAAGAGTTTTTTTCCTCCCTCTTTGGCATCCTCCAAACAAAGGCCACATTTTCAAAAAGTGCTCAGCAGCCGGCTCCTTCCGGCCTGCCGCTTATGTGCCGAACTCTTTTGAAAATCTGGCCCTTGCTGCTTAGAATGGAGTCCTTCTCCACAGAGGACAAACTTCCCAAGCAGTAATTCCCATCTTCATTTTGGTTTGGCTCACTGTTTCCTCCTTCTTCTGCAGTTTAAGGGGCTAATCAAATATCAGCTACAAAAGTACAAGGTGATCCGATAATTTGAGGAAGGCTTATCCTCCTGTGTAGACAGCATTATATACAGATAGGTAATTGTGTTATGGTTTTCCTCATCTTCCTCTGAAGCATCAATTGACCTCTGCCAGAAGCAAGATTTAGTGACTGGTCCAATGTGCATTGAAATCAACTGAAAGACTCCCATTTGACGTCCACGGACTTTAGATTAGACTCTTAGAGCATATAAGGCAAGGGACTGTGTGTGTGGTTGGGTTTTTTTCACCATGCACACCAGTGGTTCCCTATGATGCATAATGATGCCAGGATACAGACTTGCTTCAGCAGTGGTTTGATCTGGTATGGCAAATCCTGCTCTCCCCCTATGTTCCACGTGAACTTGAAAAGCAACCTTTCCACACAACTGAAATGTCACCCCTGAATGCAATGCAGTAATAGGCACTGCTCAGCTGCATTTGGCATTAACCATTATGATCTCATTAATGCTGATACAAAGTAGATAGTAAAGGGCTTTTTGTTTTTTCCTGGTTAAGACTCTGAGCTGCATTTCATTCTATTTCCCTTCATGCCAAGATTTTGCTGCTGTGAATAATAAGATCTGCTCTCCCCCGTTTTTCCTAGACTGTTCAAGTCTCTAGCACGAAACTGCCAGTGTCATCATCTAGCCACGGTCTTCTGGAGGAGAGGACAAAGATCCAGTTCATAAGATGGAGGTAGAGTCCCTTGTACCTATCCCCTGGGAAGAGGCAAAGGGTCTGATTCTGCAAGGTATTGAGCTGGCGTAAGAAAGCGGAAGCCCCGTTGAAGCGAGAGGTGGGGAAAAGAGAAGGCAATGAGCATCAGTGGGAGCCAGGATGCTCCGGCCTGGACCAAAATACCAGATCTTCAGCTGGTGTACATCACTGCGGTGAACGAAGTGGAGCTGTGCTGATTTACGCCAGCTGAGGATCTGGCCCAAAGTGGGCAGCGTTTGGTCGTGGAGCTGTGGAGTTTATATGCCACTATATTGCAATGTATTAAAGAAAAAACAAAACCAATCGCAACCTTTTACAGCATCATGCTTACATGTCAGCAATTTTGATCTCTCAGGTTCTACTAGAACTAACGAGGAGCACTTTTATCTTGGAGGATACAGTCCTCCCATTGGGTACACTGGGATAACACAAAGATTGGGGACCTCCGCAGAGCTGGGCTTGGGTGGCATGCTGGATGGTTTTTATTGGTGACCAGGCCAGCATCATAAAACCACCTGAATGGACTTGTGTGGTTCTTGCAGTCACACCCGGGTCTATCGAGTATCGAGTGACATCAGGAATGAAGCCATGCGGGAGAGGCTGGAACAAGTGCGAAACAGGTGAGATCCTCTTGGCAGGTCCTTTAAACACCTGCCAGCCCATACTCAGGTCACGCCCAAAAGGCACCAGGTGCTGCCCCCATCCACTGTAAGACACAGTCCCTGCCTCAAAGAGCTCACACTCTCGGTGCTGAGCACTCTGGATTGTGTGCCGTGGGACTAGGCACGTGCTGGAGTGGGGCCAGTGTGGTGGAGCCCTTGGGTAATATTGTCAGGATCCTGGGAGAAGGTCGGCAGGACTAGGGGTAGGCGCTTGGAATCCCAGAGCCAGTATCGGGGTCAAGAGTCAAGCTGAGGTTCGAGTCAAGATAAGGATCCGAGCTGGACACAGAGTCAAGAATCCAGCTGAGGGGCAATACCAGGTAATGGGGTCGGGATCCCAGGGGTCGTTCGGGAATCGGAGGCGAGATCAGTACCGGGAGCTCAGAAACAGAGAAGCAAGCCGGTCGTGGAAGCTAGCTCTGTCGCCTGGACACATCCTGGTATGCCTTGCTGGCTCTTCTGACAAAGAGGCGTACCAGGACTGCTTAGACCACGCTTTCAGATCACTCGAGGTGGAACTTCCTGTCGTGTTGAGCCTCTGCAGATTGTGGGTTGCCGGGAGTGGCCAGGTGACAGTTGCTGCTGCATGGCACTGTGGGGATGTTGGTTGCCGAGCAGCCCTGCAGGTCTGGGTTCAAGTTCTGCTGATCCTTAAAAATATGGATGTGTAGCCAGATACTCAGAATGGGCCCCTAGTGAAAACTTTGCCAGGCCTCCATAATAGGGGGAGAATTCAGACATGTTTGCTGCTGTTCAGATTTGTCACCCCTTGGAAATCCAACAAAAGTCCTCGAAACTAGGTGTCCTTCCAGAAGAAGAGTCCGAGTTCCTTGGCTATCCAGAGTCGTCTTTGGCTAGAGAGATCAAGCCAATGGTCACCGTGCTACTACAGCTGTTCTTCTAGCTGGAAATTAACCCCTTGTCTCCTTTCGCACAACAGAAGAACAAGGGGACTTTCAATTAAATTGCAAGGTGGAAAATTCAACTCTGATAAGAAATACTGTTTTCTCTCAACATGTGATTAGATTGTGGAACACATTGCCACAGGATGCCATTGAGACTAAAGAATTAAAGAGGGCCAAACATTTCTCTGGATAAGAAAAATATTCAGTGTTCTAGTTAATGCAAAAAGAAAAGAATTTCGCAAGGGATAACAACTCCCTGCTTTAGGGTTTAAGCCAGGCTCCAGTGATTTGAGGATGGGGTGAGGCCTTTGTGGGGGCTGGAGGGCTCTTGCACCTTCCTCTGAGGCATCTGGTTCTGGCTACTTTTAGAGACAGGATTCTGGATTAGATGGACCGTGGGTCTGATCCAATCTGGCGGCAGACATCAAATTCTAGCTTCTCCCTCTGCAGACTCAACTGCAACATCTGCTTTCTCGATGCTTTTACCAGTTGGACATTGAAATATAGATCCCCCTAAATGCCATCCAGGTGCAGGAACCCCAATTCTGCAGTTAGGTAGCAGCACGTTCTGGGTTTTGGCCTGCACTCAGATCTTGCAGTGATGGACACCTGTGCAAAACCGTGAAATGGATGGATAGAAGTTCTCCCCAGTGCATTGCTGGGTCTGACACCTCCCTATAACTTGTTTCTTCAGCGTGTCCCAGGTCATGCTTCAAGCAATGCAGAACAACAGGTCGAACACTGATATCCGAGCCACCCTTTCGAGCTAAATACAGCAGGTAAGGCATGTAGGCCAGGTAGGACGTTGGAGAGGAGTCTCAACTCATTCCTTGATTCAGTGCTCCGAGCTTCCTCAAACCTGCCACCTCCATAGACCTGACCCTACAGAGTGAACCCTCTGTTCCTGAGTTTAGAAAGGAGCTTGCTCTCCAGTTTAATCCAGCCCTGAGTTTCTTCCAATCACTGCTTCACCAGCTGGCTTCCCCCAGCTAGTTCCTGGGCTGAAAGTAAACTTAGGTCCATGATGAAGGGCTAACATTTGTACTGAGACATGTAGGTCCAAATAAGCGAGTGTCAGGATAACAAATAAAAGTGATTTTTCCCCAGAGTGAATCACGCCAAGATTCCCTCCTGGCCTCTGTTGCTGGTGCTGCAGACCTGGGGCAAGACAAGTTGTGACCTCATGTCACACCTGGCCTAGGCATCCCAGGGCATCTGAAAGTTGAACCCTCCTGGTGGCTCAGTGGAACCTCTCTGGCTTTCTCTCTTCTATGGGGAACCTCAGGGCACGTGGTCCCATGCCATCCCGGTTGGCCAGTTTGGGATCGTGTCCCCTGGCATTCTAAGCCACCCAGGGGGCTGAGAGTCAGCCCACCTAAATCAAGTTCTACCTGGAGCTGCTTCCTGTCAAAACCTGACTGTGGCCAGGGAAGCTATCCCGGCCAGCAGCTCGTGGCCATGTCAATCTGTGAGGGCAGGGCCAGAGGGAAGGCACCAAGGTTCTCTTCTGTTGTCTGGGGCATGCTTGGCTGGACCTTGCACACTACTTTGCCCTGGCTGATAAGTGGTGATTCTGTCCTGCTTTGCTTTCTGTTCTCAATGGGCCCCGATGGCTGTTCACCAAGAATTCAGCGGGGGTGGGGGGAAATGCCGATGGTTCTGGGGTCTCTTTGTATCTTGACCCCCAAAGTCAAATGCCGGGTTCTGGCCTTGGCTCTGGTGGTACATAGGGGAGGGGAAGGAGCTGCCATGGCCCCAGGGCAAATCTCCACCTGCAGAGAAACGCAATAGATTCTGGCATACGCTCCAGGGCTGGTCTAGCTTATGCTGGGGGTTGTACTGCCCTCTGGAGCAGGGAGTGTCCAGGAGAGAGAGAGGTGCTTCAAAGCCACCTTTCTCATCCTCCTCCTCAGCTGCCCCTCCTGCATGATATCTCCCAAGAGGCTCAGCGCAGAATCTAGCCCAAAGCCTGATCCCTTCAGTAAGATATTGGGCCCTGCCATGGCCTGAGCCAAGCTGACTAGCTAAGCAGCTCTGAAACTCAGGACCCTTTAAGGTGAGCCGAGCTGGGCAGCCACATGCTGAGGCCCCTCGGTGGCCATGTTTGAAGACGTTGGCTTTGACATTCCCGTGCCAGTGCGACACAAGACAAGAATCCTCGTCTTTCCTATGGGGCAAGGAGGCTTAGAATAATAGCATATCAGGGTTGGAAGGGACCTCAGGAGATCATCTAGTCCAACCCCTGCTCAAAGCAGGACCAATCCCCAATTTTTGCCCCAGATCTCTAAATGGCCCCCTCAAGGATTGAACTCACAACCCTGGGTTTAGCAGGCCATTGCTCAAACCACTGAGTATTCTTCCCCCTACTATGTGAGACATAGGTGCTGGAACTGGCTTGAAGTGGATTCCATCATAGACAGGGTTTATTTACAGTTTGGTTCAATGGCTCTCAGCACCTCCCACTACACAAATTATTCCAGCACCCTTGTTGTGAGAAATCATTAGTGAGTGGGATGCTGAGGTCAGCCAGGCTCCACTCTTGGGGAGGGTCCCTGGATGTGGAACACGCTTTCCCTGGACATCCAGCAGAGACTGATTCCTCTGACCTGTAAGGTACGGTGCCAGGTCTCACCTCCCGATGAAGCATTCGTTGGCCTGTCAATCATTGCAGACCCATGTACTAAGGCTGGCGAGGACTGTTTGCAATACCTGGCCTGGAGCGATGCTGTTGAATTTTTTCATGGGCCCCCAGGCCATGGTAATCAGGGCATAAAACCCATTAAATAACGGAAGTGCTTTGTCATCCCTGGTGCAAGGCGCTAATCCCATTTACCTCCTTAAGGTCCTGTCCCATTGGCCCATCTGATGCTGTAACTCTTACTCACCACTCCTGCATTTTCTTTTGCAGCGTTTTGTCCAGCCTGGGGCTCCTGCTGCAGAGACAGGCTGCATTTGAAGTTTTTCCTCCAACCATTTCAGAGCAAATCTGGCGAACCTAGTGTTAACTCCTGTTTCGTAAACCTGAGCTGGTCATAAAGATACTTGTTATGTAGAATGTACCCTGGTCTGCTGCTGTGCTTCTGTCTACCCTGCTCTAAGGTGAAGCGGTATTCGAGTGGGGAGTCTGTGAGGCTCTCTGGCCTGCTTAGCAATGACTGCCCACAAGATGGGGATGTTTACTTGCAAGATGGCAGTGCAGAGAGAAAGAAGAGGGCCGATGGGTATAGGGGAAGGCAAGGGAGGACGTGAGAGACGAAAGACGAATAAGGGAATATGCATGTCTGTAAAAGACCAGAGGTTCCCCTCCTCTGCCATGTTCTGCCTGCCTGCCCCCTCTCTTCTGTTTGCCTGGTAGTAAGTGCCGTAGGTGCTTTCCACCTATGTAAGAAGGGACAGACCCTGCCCCAGATGCTGACAGTTTAAGGCTGGACCGAGGTTAGGGAAAGAGGAAATCATGGTTTTTTATCAGTGTCAGTGGGAAATGTTTTTAAGGGACTGAAGTGGGAAGGGGCCTGGGAAATGAACTCCTGGATCAAATGGATGGTGTCTAGCCTGAAATGGCCAGGTGGGGGTGCTCTCATCCCTGCAAGTGCAGCAGATGCAAACCAATCCTTGAGGTTTCCCTGCCATCCTCCTTGCTCTGCGCACCATGTAGCTAGAGCAATGCTGGCAGGACTGTACAAAAACCTTGCTGTAGAAAAGTCCCCTGATGCTCTTCATAGTAATTATTATTCTTTTATTATTTGTGTCATTGTGTCACCTAGGACTCCCTGGGTCCAGGACCCCATGGTGCTAGGTGGTGTACAATCACAGAACAAAAAGGCCGATTGCAAAGTCTTTGAAGTAGGGATTATGTATAAGACAAAAGGCACCAGCTGATATGGACAGACGGGCATGGAGACCATGAGGCCATATTGGTCAGCGTGATTAGCAAACCAGCAGTCTAATGTCACTCATCAGCTGCCTTGTCCAGTAATTGCCTTCCCCACCCCTATAACCACCATCTTCCCCTCCGCCCCCCTACTTCCTTCTCTGGGACCCTGAACCTGTTGATGAGTCCCTCTGCTTTCATCCCTCCCATCAGACCCCACATGGAGCATTGCACAATGGCCGGACTCACCCGCCGCCCATCCTTGCTCCCTCACTAGCTGCTCCTCTTGCTTGTTTGGCAAAAACAATAAGCCCTGCGACAGGGAGAGGAAGAGGGCAAAGCCATTATTGCTGCTATTACAAGCCCAGCTTCTCTGGGCCTCTGGCAGGAGTGAACTCATTAAGTGGCTCAAATGGAGCTTTGTTCCACGCATGATTGAGCCCCAGGGGGGAACCAGTGCCCTGCTGCACCTGTGTTACAGGGAGCACTGATTCATGCTGGATTAAAGGGAAATGAATGGCAAATGAGGTCATTCAGCCATGACCAAGCCATTAGTGTAGCTAAACGGTGCTGATGAAGCTAATCAAGGTGTGTGTTGGGTCATGGATTTCGCAGGCACAGGGGGCTGTGTGTGGCTGTGGCAGGAATGCTGAAGGGCCCATGGTCTGAAAACTCATGCTCGGCATGGTCTAAGTGCTGGGCCGATGCGGAAGTCCTAAAGCAGGCCCGGGTCATTCCGCAGATGGGTCCAGGTTGCCGGCCTGGGGCTAGAAGTGGAACCAGGGAGGGAGGCTGGAATGCCTCCTCCGAGTGAGCGCTTTCTCGGGCATTGCTTGGAAAGACCAGTTGGTCATCACTCAGGCACAGTGGGAGGCCTGGGAGTTCCTCAGGACAACTGACCTCTCTGTAGAGACCTTGACTGACAGGCAGGTATTTTAGACTTCCTTACATCAGGGCTCAGAATCCGCTCACCCCGTGCCCGTCTCGGCACCTCTCCGTGCTCACGTGCCTCTCCCTGGACGGAAGAGACCGAATGGTGAATGGCTCCGGGAGGGGGAGCGAGGCTTTGGGCAGCAGGCTGAGCGGGCAGTTAGAAAACATGCTTTTGTGGTAGATTCAAGGAGCCAAAAAAATCAAGGTTAAGAGGTGACTTGATTGCAGTCTGTAGGTACCTACCTGGGGAACAAATATGTGATGATGGGTTCGTGTAGCAGAGAATGGTCAAACACAATACCATGGCCAAAAGTTAAAGCTAGAGAAATTCAGACTGGAAATAAGGCCTACATTTTTAACTGTGTGGGTAATTAACTGTTGGTAGTTAATTGTGGTCGGTTGTGATTGGTTCTCCGTCACGGGCAACTTTTAAATCAAGATTGAATTGTTTTTCTAAAAGCTCTAGGAATTATTTCAGGCAGGTCTCTAGCCTGTGTTTCACGGAAGGACAGTTACGATGATCGCAAAGGTCCCTTCGGGCTTGGGATCTATGGATCTGTGAATTCGGAAGGGCCCCCTGTGACAGTAGTGGTAATTTCCTGCAGTATTGTTGGGAAACCTTATTGAATTACCTTTAAATATGAGGTGCATTGTATTCAATGAGCAGTTTGTCATAGGATGGGCCAGGACTCTATGGAATCCCTCGAGAGACGGATGTGACAAATGTGAGACTTGGGAGTTCAGAAGACTCTCCTGAACAAGGGGCCGGACAAGAATGGCCTTTTGGAACAAAAAGTGTGAAGCAGTTTTCCTGGGGAATATCTAGGAGGAGGTGAATCCAAATTCCCACTCTGGTTATGCAAAACTCCACCCCTTTGAAGCCACACCCTGAAAAGTGGGCCATTGTCTGTCTGCTTATTGCCTGTTACATGAGGCCAAGGTAAAAGGCCCACGCTCTATAAAGAA